TTAGACTTCTCTATAAACATGACTATAATTGGTGACTTCAGAATTTGTTAGGGCTATTGGTTTAACCCTATTAAAAAGTATCTGAATTCCAACAATTTGGGCCCCTATCACTATAATATTGATTAATACAGAACTGGAATCAATTTGGTCATTGTGCTGGCCACATGACACCCTAATTAACTGTTGGCCATAGAAACAGATGACCTTTTCATCATCTACCCTATCGATCACAAAGTCTGAAAAAAGGGGTCCACAGCTCTGAGGTCCTTTTTAAAAGTTTGACGTCAAACTTTACTAGAACGTCCCTGTTTCCGCTTTCCTTGTATTGGCCTCCATGTCATCGCAGCTCATTGTACAAGTAATTCATTCTGTCAGAGGACATGTCCCTGTTGAAGGACATGTTCATGTCTCGATATTGCAGAAAAGTGGGAATCACTATCAGATGCTTAAAAACTAAAAAACGAGTTAGAGTTTTTCTTTGGTCGCAGTTCAACAGTCTGTTAAATGAGGACATATAAGCAGACATATGGGGGCTGCCTCTTTGAAACTCAAACCCACTCTCTTTGTAATCTTTCTTTAATACAATTTTGAAGCAATGTTAAACTGAAAGCTTTTGAAAAGACTTTTTTTCCTTTATAATTTAAATGCACACAAAGCTCACTTTGTAAAGCTAATTTTTTTTTCATTCAGGTATCACATGTAAATTTGAATAACATGCTGTGCCCTGCTGTCTCTGACCCATTCCATGGAAAATTTTATCGGCTCTTTGCCATGGTTCACCAGATTATTTTGATACCTACACTTGGTAAGTTACTGGTCATTTTGGCTAAGGCTATCAATTTTTTGCCATGTGACAACCCGCCAGACGAATGCTTTCTGTCTTACGCTTGGAACTGTGAGACCAAATGCTGTGACTATTCCACATGTTCTTCCAACACCACAACAGAAAACAGCTGCCAGGATACTGGGGACAGCTCAGAGTTGGACAGTGGAGTCTTGAGCAGCGGGTGCAACTATAGGTTGCGCTGTGACCCTTGCAGCCAAAAAAGCAATGGCCTGTATCCTCGGTTGAAGTGCTGCTTCTACTGCTGTGACCATGCAAACCATCAATTTAACTGTAGCTGTAGTATCAATGAATCAAAAGATGTGGGTTCAGTTATGCACATTGTCAATGGAAAAATAATCGGAGAAGTTTCACGGAAGGATTCAGATAAGGAAAATGGATTGAGGAAGAGAGAGAGTGACGCTGGACCACATAAATCCCAGGAAAGAGACACTCACTTAGAGCAACATGGACCACCAGATTCTGTTCAGGGAAGCTCAACAGACCCTGATCCTGGCACAGAAGAAGAAAAACATATCAATAAAACATTACACTTGCCCGAGTCTAGTGATAAAAGAAATGGCCACACCAAATCTCACTGAGAAGATTAGAATTATTTTTCATTTAAGTTATTGATTTCTGTTTGAGAGAGCCTCCACTCCAAACAAATGTTCAAACTTTATGACACTTCGTTTACCTTTTTCCAAATGTAAATAATTGACAAACAATTTATTTCAAGCTTTTGTGCAAGCAGTTCATAGGTTTCAATGGCAATTTATTCCCATATATTTATTACAAATTTATTTGTTGTTTTTGTTGAATGAACTTGTATAAGGAAACTGAAAGAGCTCCAACATTCCTTTTTCTAAAGCTGTACTGTCTTTGTCTTATTTACCCGTGCCATGTGTTCATTCATTTTGTTGTCCCAATGATTATGGCTCCATTGTAGTATTTATACTGATGTGCCATGATGGAAGATAAACTTGAAAAAGAAAAGTTTGTTTTTCTTTACTTTACAAGGATATATTTTACTATTGTATAAAATGAGATTGTGTACCAAGAAAACATTTCCTTAACTAGTTTGAATGTTCTGAGCAGTTCAGTTTTCTTTTAAAAGACAGAGTTCAACCCACAGTAGAGATATTATTTGAATTTCACATCTGATGTGCACATAACAATATAAACAAAAAGAAACGATTACAAATAAATAATATTGACCAACTCTCTATGCAGATACGTTATTTGGAAGTAGAAGCGGTTGTTTATTTATAATACATTTGTTAGCAGATGAAAACATTGTTTCCTTGACTTGATAAAACTAAACATTCTTTATCCCATCTACATCCCTCCACCTATTTCCTATGATTAAACTGTTGTCCACCACAGCCTCTTTAGAGTCGAAAATGCACACTATTGGTAAGACATTTTGTCAGGCATGGTTGAAAGTTTAGTTAAACTTTCTCTGTTAAAATAATCGCAGTGGACAAATTAAAGATTAGCTAATGCTTAAAGGAATGCAGCGTTTCTTTACTAGGAATATAAAATATTGTAGCACAAAATCACAAAAATTTGCACTATTCATTCCAATCTCATCATGTGTTTCCCCTTCAAAAACACCCTCCTACTCAACATGGATGGATTTCTGTCACCTATGCAACTGTGTGACTTTTTACAAAATGTAGTGGAATCTAGATTTTTTTCTATAGCAATTAGAACCTACCTACCAGAAAACTTATGAAAGGATATAATCACATTAACTTAAGCTGCCATCTGTGACATGTTTAAGCAGTCACCTGTGACATTTTTAAGCAGTCACCTGTGACATCTTAAATCAGTCACCTGTGATATCCTAAGCAGCAATTTTCTTTTCACATCATCTCACTTGTTATCTTAGTGCAATAATTTGCCTGGCATTACCAATCCCCCCACCCCCCTTTTTTAATGGTTAAATTGAATTAGCTTATGTTGATGGCAACACAAATGTGTACTCATAAATCACTAAGGAATAACTAGAAATAGTATTTTTTTCAGCCCAGTTGCCATGTTGACTTAGTCGTGTATCAGGTGGTTCTAAAATAATTAATTTCATACATAAGGTGCAGATTCACTAATTAGCTTTGTTTACAGTGACAAACACATTCATTACATTTATTGTTGAATAGTGCTAAATATCACTACAGAATATAAATGAGTCTTAGGATAGTTCTTGTATCATGGAATTTGGTCTGTCTCAGTAGTAAACAAAAAAAAAAAAAGGGCTTTTGTGGTGAACACTCTTTGTATGTTAACAATCATATTCAGTCATTTCAATATGCTATCAAACAATAGGCCACAGTTATTTCCCAATGATATCTTAAAGTGCTAATGTTTTAAACATAGCAATGTTTCTGCATGGTAAGATGAATTATATTCGTTTTCTAATTTTGAAAATGAGATTGTAATAATAATGGCAATTTGTATGACTTTATAAAGTAAATGCTTGTAATTGTACTTGTTAGCAATTTTGTTTTACCAAGTCTCAAAAGCAATCTAATTATTGTATATTTGGTTATATAAAACAAAAAATATATAATATAGTAATATACATAGTAGTATATAATAATAATAATCAATAGTATAGCCAGTTAATAACTTATTCTTTATTTCAACTTTGACCTGGCAAATCACATATTGGTTGTGAAGATAAGAATCTAATTTATTTCTATAGTAGCTATGTAAACAGTTCCAGTACTAATGTGCAGGACATCAAAAAGAAATCTTAACTGTTAGTGGTAAGTTAATCTGTGATAAAACAACTGAAGTGGAAATTTTCTTGTATACTTATGTTTCTGTTCAAACAGCCATTTTCAAATGTGTGGTAGAAGTATGTATCTACGTGTATTGCATGATTGTAGTATAGAATGGAAATAGAACATTTGTATGTCAGTGAATCTTTCCTGAACTCTCACTTACTTTGAAACAATATTTGTGTCTTTATACATTACATTTAATAGCTCAACAATTAACATTGTTCATTTATGGGTCACAATTTTAGAATACTTTTTGAATACACAATTTTAGACTGTAATACTATAATTATTAACTACCACTTAATTTTTAAAAAAAGTTGTTTACAATTGCTTAGTTGAAAATGAAAAAAAAGTAAAATTGCTCAGCTAGAATAGTTATATGTAGCTGAACTACAACTATTAGATTTTTTAATTTTTTTTTTCTTAGTTAAGGCAGCATTGGTTATAGCCATCAAACCAGAGATTGTGTTAGCTAAACAAAGGATTCTAGAAAAAAAAATGTTTTGTGGGGAGTGGAAGACAGGGTGTTTGATATTTAGTTATTTACATTAAAGTTAGATTTTTTCAACAAGTGTTCCAGTGATTTAAAGTATTTTTTTTTTTTTTTTTTTTTTTTTTTAGATTATGCTTTCTATTTGAATTATTTGTTTAAATTGCTGTCACAAATGTGCCTTTTTGCATTGTTGAAAAACTTCAATGCTTGAGATGAACTAGAGGCTATAATGTGTCATTGTACACCTGTGCCTGATTTAATATATGTGAAGGCCTCACCTTGCTCTAAAGGCTGTTCCCACAATTTTTCAATCACATTGTGTGTTTCAATTTTACACCTGGATATTTCTTTCGTTACTTGTATTATTTTAGCTTCTCATGACTGTAAGTTATTTCAACATGACTATATTATATATATATATTTATATATATACATATTAATTAAATAATGAGATTTTTAGATCGCTGGACTGCTATGATAGATTTTTTGAAAAGAATAATCACCATTTAGAATAAAATTCTTTTACTTTTTTCTCATGTTAAAGTGAACTCAAAGTGAAGACTGTCAGGAAAAGTGTAAATAACATATTTCATAAAGCCATTTTAGTACCTACAGACAGAAGTTTTAGGAATTTGAAAAAAAAAAGAAAAACCTAGTGAATAAGTTTCCTAATTAGTTTTGTAATAATAAAAAAAATATAAGTGCTCATTCTAAATTTTAACACTTTGAAAAACCACATAAGTGGTCCTTCTTCCATATTGCTTTATCAAGTTGTCAATCATTTTTGGTAACTCTGGTGGCCTCTTTATCGTTTGAAAAAAATGTTCTCATCTTGTATATGTCAGGTGAATGGTGGCAGTCTTTAAAATCATAAACCTCATGGTGTAGATTAGAAAAATAAAATAAGAATTTTTTTTGTGGGTATTGTGTACCCAGAACTAGTCAAAGGTTTTTAAAACCTTTTTTTTAAAACTTTTTGTGTGTTCATTTATTATAAGTACCTTTTTTTTTTCATTTATTTATTTGTTGCATTTAATACTAGAATACTTTTTTTCTTTATGAATATTCTGATGTTATATAATTCTAAATCAGTAGCAATAGATGTGATTGCAGGAACTCTTTTTATCACATTATAGTTTACATTCATGAACAGAACTATTTATATATTACACTTGTTATTTCAAAGTTGTAGTGCTCTTTTAACTTTTGTGCAAGTCTTTTGTTTTATCAAAAGAGCAAAATACTATTTACTACCATAAGATAATATATTTCCTTATTTTTGTTTTCTTTAGCGTTAAAACTGATGGAGCTTTTTTTCCCATTTTTGAAATAGAATGTTGTTTATAAATAAACACAATTATTTTTTTTTTTAATGTTACTAGGCGGAATCCACAATTCGGTTTTCTATAGGATGACATACTATTGTATGCAAAACCTGATAACAAAAAAAAAATCATACAATACTTTGGAACTATTGCTACTGGTGAGGATTGTCAAATGTGAGAAGCTTTTTAAAACAAAAAATGAGTTATGTCTTGGTTTTATCTCTCTCATTCTCTCTCTCTCTCTCTCTTGAAAAAAAATGAAGGTAATTCTAATCCTGAAAATGTCATAAACATGCATTTTAGATTTGAATCAATATTTGTCTTAGTTTAATTCATCTACAGAGATGTTCTAAGTTTCCTCCAGTGCCAAGAACACTCTTGCTCTAGCTCTACAAGTACAGAGAATGTCCCTTAGTCATTAGTCCCTCAGTCTCAGCTTCCCTCTGGTCTAGCACAATGGGTATTTACATTGTCTCAAGTCCCAATGCCATTCTAAATGTAACTGGTGACAAGTATTTTGTTGACTGTGTCCTAAGAGATTCTCTCTTGATATTATACACAGAATACTGTGTGCTAAATAAATTATTGATTGTCTACATGATTCTATGTATTCATGTGTGAGTATTAGGTATTTTATTTTGATGTGTTTATAGCTATCCATTTAGCAGTATTTTATTATGCTCATTGCGCTATAAATTGCTGATGGCTGTTAAAGAAAGGTCTAACGCTAGCTACAGTCTTTTGGCATGTCTATGCTTCAAGGCTTAACTTGGAAATCTGATAACAACTGTCTGAAGTTGTATATGAATTGTATTTTATTTATTAGGCTTTTTTTTCTAGATTGATCTATTTTTATTCCAGAGCATTGTTCATTATTAGTCATGAGGTTGTACCATGGCTTGTTAAATATTTGCTATAACCAACATTGATCCACGTACTAAAGCCTGTACAAATATTGTATTCCCAAGTTTGTCATTTTTTTGCACTTGCAGCCATTGTTTAACAGTTCAGTAGTAAATTATTGCACATTTTGAAATTTAACCTGATGCATTTTTTTTTTTTTTTTAGAATAAATTTCCAGAATGCATTTAAATGTTGTTTTTTTATGTTACTAGATCTTTCTGTTATGTTTTTTGTTGTTTTTATATGTACTAGGTCTTTCATACATTTTTTGTTTTTGTTTTAATATGTTAGACCTACTAATCAGACTTTTCTAAATTGTGTTCTTTTGTTTTGTTTTATATGGACTGGTACTAACTAGATATTTCATATTGGGTTGGTATTTGTTTTGTTTTGAATATGATACTAGGTCTTCCGTCTTCCTATCCTGCCGTCACTAATCATTACTGTGATTGTGGTACACATGCATATGTTGTTGTCTCTTCCTTTAAATCGTGTATCTAGTATGATCTAACTCATTGCTAGTCTGGCCTGATATTAATGCTTGTCAGGAAGTACACTATATAGGCTTGCAATGAGCCTTTTTTTTTTTTTGTGGTCAAGAGAATGAATTCACTAGACGGTATAATACATGTGGTTCTGTGACCAACATAGAACAAAGCATCAAACCTCATAGACTAGCTAAAAACATCTAGGACATGTCAACAAGAAATAATATATGAATATTATACCTTTTTTGCTGAAGGTGCCAGGCGGCCCCCCCCCCCCCCGCCCCTTTCCCATGTTTTTTCTTTTGACTAAATAGGAAATATGTTTGTTAGTGTGTTTGTATTTACTAAGTTATAAAAAAAATTCAATAAAAATTCTACGGTGCGTGACTCGCCATAGTTGATACTTTCAAGTTAACTAATAAAACCAAATCGATATTTCATATTCTCGAAAACTGGGATTATCTTAAAGGGATATGCATGTGTGTGATAAAAAAAAAGTAGGCCCTAATTCTGTAGAATTAGATAATAAAGAAAACTACATCTACTAATTCTTAAATTTAAAATCTAGAGGATTGTCACAGTGAATATGAGGGCCTATGGTGCCTATTTTTACAAATATGGGTTTTGGGGAGGATATTTGTTTAATATATATATATAGGTCTCTACGTTTTTTTTCCATTTCAGTCAGATCCCCCCTCCCGCATTTTGTTCTTCTCTTGCATAACATCATACACATTAGAATAAATATATAACGTAGCCCTTTGTAGTGTTTTTGATACTTATTTTGGCGCTCCCACATATACATCTAGGTAGCCTGGTGGGGATGGTTGGAGAAAACGTAAACAGTTTAGTACCAGTCAGACGTTTTCGTGCCAGTGCTCAACATCCACACGAAATGGTGATAGTTCATTGACTCGTGCTCAACTTATTGAACTCTTAGAGAAAAATGTTTGGCATGTTTTGGATGTTCCTTCAGAGTTGAAGATTATCTACATACTTCCTAGTCCAAACCTCACGCAGGACGACGGTGGATGTCAGCGGACATGGTATGAACCCGCCCGGGACCAACGAGACGACCGAACGACAGTCCAGCAACGTAAATTTTCGACGTGCGAGCTTAGTTAAAAAAAAATTCGAATGCGATATAATTGAATGAGGTAACCTTTTTTAAAACCAAACCCAGCCTAGACTTTAGAAAAAAACTACATGAACTAAAAATAAAATCTTCCTTACCAAAGATTATCAGCTTCATAAAGGAGGAAGTGTCTTTAAAAATTTACGGTTTTTATTTTAAACATAAAAATCATCAGGACAAGACTTTGTAATAGAAAAGCACCAATCAAGCAAGTTAAACCAGACGTCAGTTAAGAGCTCACCAAAATATTAAATTAGTAATCTGATCATTACCAATGGTTTGGAACCCATTTTTCTTAGACAACATGCTACACCGCTTTCAAGAACATTAAGACCTACCTGTTTAAAACTTTTAGATTAGTTTGTCATTTGAGCTCTCGTGTTACATGCTGAACCACTTTCAAGAACATTAAGACCTACCTGTTTAAAACTTTTAGATTAGTTTGTCATTTGAGCTCTCGTGCTACATGCTACACCACTTTATAGAACATTAAGACCTACCTGTTTAAAACTTTTAGATTAGTTTGTCATTTGAACTCTCGCGTATATCTTTGTTTTGTTATCACAGCGCCTTGAGCTAACATTTTGTTTGTTAATAGCGCTTTATAAATAAAATTATTATTATTTTCAATTATTATTATTAGGCCTACACTTCATTAAGACGACATGATGCTTATCTCCTATTGATTATCAAATATTATTTTCTTAAAGATTATCATATATTTATTAGCTCATTTAAAGATTATCAAATATGTATTAACCCCCATAGACAAAAAAGTATATGATTAATCCATATAAAGACTGTCAAATATTTCATAAATATTATCAAAATATTTACTTCATAAGGGAAAAAAATCTATTTAATTCGTAAAGATAGCAAATGGAGGCGCGGTGGCTGAGCGGTAAAGCACTTGGCTTCTGAACCGGAAATTTTTAATTTCGGTACCTTTGGGAGCCTCTGAGTCCATCCAGCTCTAATGGGTATCTAACAATAGTTGGGGAAAAGTAAAGGCTATAGGTCGTTGTGCTGGCCACATGACACCCTCGTTAACCTTAGGCCACAGAATCATATGACCTTTACATCATCTGCCCTATAGACCACAAGGTCTAAAAGGGGAACTTTTTAAAAAATTAAAATAGCAAATATTTACTTCATAAGAAAAAAGAAATATTTATTTCGTATAGATTAGCAAATACTGACCTCATTAAAATTAGCTAATACTAGCTTTACCCACAGGCTACGCTCGTTTTATTCCCATGCTATATACTGTTAATTTTGCCGTACATTCATTTGGCTAGCGAATTTTAGGGTCCATTACAAAGAATTGGAGGAATTTGGGCCGGCCCGTGAATTCAAGTATCACTTCTCTACCCACCCCACAACCCCACTCTCGTCTTAACAAATCTCCCTTTTAGCCAGTGTAGACCTATTAATAGTATGTGTTAGGTATAACTGGAATGGCCCTCTTAAAAACGCCCACCATGACACACAAGAATATCACTTTTCTCTCCCCAACCCTTTTTAAGCCAATGTCGCCCCTTAAAAAAAAAAATTTAATTTCAGTATCTGTTACGTCTAATTTGCAGGGCCCGCTTTATAACGCTACCCTTCCCCAACCTATAGGTATACTTTCCCCCCCTTGACTTGATTACCGGTATCACCTATATTTCCCCCATCCTACGCTATAGAAAGTAATCCTACATACAATATCTGAATATTCTTCGGCTTTTCAGAACTTTATCGAAAAATTTGAAAGGCTCTTTGATGCTTTTCGGCCGGAGTCCTTTTTTTAAAAACATTATTCTAAAATCTTTAAAAAGATTTACTGGTATTCATACGGCTATAGGTAACCTACCGGCCTAATTGGGAACCGGCCCTATGGGCATTCGCCCGAATGCTCATATAGCCAGTCTGCCCCTGTATATATATATATATTTATTGCATATATGTTAACCCATATAAAGATTATTTACTTTTTTTCATTAAGTTCATCGTAAAAGTATAAATATTTTATGCAGTCCTTTGTAAATGTATTTTACAATTACATATTGTCACATGCAGTGACGAAGCATGTGATTTGGGGGCCCAGGATTGCTTGGCCTCTTTAGGAGCTCCTGCATTTTGAAATTCTACATCATGACATGAGATAATGACATAATATTTAATGTTAAAAAAATTCGAACACTCATTTGGGGGCCTTTGGGGATTCTCAAATCCCCCCCCCCCATCTCCCACCATAGCTACGCCACTGGTCACCTAGACCAATCATTTCCTTGCTCAAGATCATCATATACTTATTTCATGGACCTTGATCTTTCCAGACACCCTGACATAGTTAATATCTTCAATGGGGGCCGAATGGTTGTACTGGCAGCAAAGGGCCTGGTTGATGTAAATGACGAAGCAGGCTGGTGTGACCAGAACGTGGATGCTGAAACTTTGGTTGATACTGAAAGGGTAGGCGAAGCTCGGGAGAACTTCGGGCGAGTTCCAGGATCCATTCCAACAATGATTGAGGACAATGACCTTGCTGGTGGCGTTGTCGTAGCGGGCCCGGAAGTGGAAGTGGATGTAGCTGGCGTCGCCGTACTTTGTGAAGTCAAAGTTGAAGCTGTCATTGGTCAGCAGCGTAGCATAGATGTACAACTGTAAGGGAAAGAAAGTATGTAGGAGCAAAACAAAAAAAAAAAAAAAAAAAAAAAAAAGATCGTCTGAACATTTTGACATTTGATTCTTTTAGTTAAGCCTACTTATCATCACCTGCAGGCTTTTTTTTCTTTTAGAGAGCTTTAGACCAATGATTCCCAAAGTGGTCTATATAGACCCCCCAGGGGTCTACGAAGAGTTCCAAGGGGTCTACGAAAGTGAAAAAATAAATTGGGGCTCTATGAGATGTCCATGGGGGTCTACGAAAATGAATTTTATTAAGCAGTTCGTGACTTTAATTTTCACATCTCGTCAATGTAATTATTTCCTACACTAATATATGATTTGTACCTTAGATAATCCTTTCAATATGTATCCTGCTATTCAAACGAAAAATGTTCTATTTAATTTCAATATTTATTTAGATTGCTTGATTATTTCTACAAAAAGAAATGTAGATTATACAGCATTTGTTATTT